GCCCAGATCTCTGGAGGCAGGGGCAGGCACTTGGCTGATAGGTTACTGAATCTGTCAGTCCAGTGCCTGGAACTGGGAATTTCCTGTGGATCTGCCCCCTGTACTGACCTATTTAGGCCAGGATCAGCCTAGCCACCAGGACTCCATGCCATGTGTGTCTCCTTGATCACGTCCTGTCTCCTGGCTTCTGGCTTGTCTCCAGGCATCATGGCATTCCAATTCAGCTCTCCGCTGAAGCTGAATTGGCTTGCTGGTATTGTTTTTATTTCTTTCCTCTTTAGCATGTTTCCTAGCTGTGTTATGTGTATTTGCATGTTGCAGGCTTTTGTAACAACGGGCAGCCTGCGGCCTGTTAACTGTATAATAAAGATTCCAATATTCTATATTTTAAACTGTGACTTCTGGGATGATTCACCTTACAACAATAGGAGCTCCCAAACTAGCCTTTTTGTTATGTCTCCTCCTTCCTGTGATCTCAAAATGAGTAATCACTGGCTCCTCCTCTTCTCAAACATCCCATATATGTCACAAACCTCACAAAGGCCTTTTCAGAACTACCCTTTTATTCAGTCTTCCTTAATATTCTCACTGTTTCACCAAATGATGACCAAATCACAAAACCTACTTATCCTAAATACTGTAATAATTGTCATGAAAAGCTAGGCTTTTCATTATACCTGTAATTCTAGCTACTCAGGAGACTGAGATCTGAGAATCATGGCTCAAAGCAAGGAAAGTACATGAGAGTCATTGCCAATTAAACCACCAAAAGGCTGAAAGTAAAACTGTGACTCAAGTGATAGAGTGCTAGCCATGAGCAAAAAAGCTCAAGTGCAATTCCCAGGCCCTGAGTTCAAGCCCCAGGACCAGCACATACATACAAACACACAGATAAGTTCCATGAGAAAAAAAATGTTAAGAGATAAAGAGATAGGAGGTGGGAATAAAGGTACTCATTTCCCAGAGATGGTTATAAAAGGCCTCTCCAAGGGTATTAAAAGGAATGAGCCATACTAAAGTCTGAGAAAATAATGTCCCAAATAAGGAAAGGGACCTGGATCCACCAGTGAATCTAGAAAATGAAAATTACCTGAACTAAGGCTTTAAAAATATTACTCTGGCTTTTACATGGAAGTGACAGGAGAGGCATGTTAAAAAATGTTGCAGCCGGGCACAGGTGGCTCACACCTGTAATCCTGGTTCATGCCTGTAATCCTAGCTACTCAGGAGGCTGAAATCTGAGGATCACAGTTCAAAGTCACCCGGGCAAGGAAGTCCATGAGAATTATCTCCAATTAACCACCAGAAAACCAGAAGTGGTGGTGTGGCTCAAATGGCAGGTGCTCTCCTTGAGCAGAAGAGCTCAGAGACAGTGCCCAGGCCGAGTTCAAGCCCCATGAGACACACACACACACACACACACACACACACACACACACACACACACACGAAGGAAGATGTGACATTGTCCAAAACGAAATGTACTCTTTACTTGACTTATGTAACTATAACTTCTCTGTATATCAATCACCTTTATAATAACCATAAAAAATTTAATGTAGACAATTTAGGAGGCTTTTGCCTAGCAGACCGCCATACTGTCTCACTGAGCTCTCACTGAATGTGTCGGAGTGAATAAATGATAGGGAAATAACCTAGCCAAGATCAGTTCCCACGTGGCAGCCTTGTTTTAGGGTGTCCATCTATTTTCTGCACATTCCACTTGAGGTACTACAGTCCAATTGAGATGGCTCCACTAGGCACATAACTCCACCTAAGACCATTTGAGGCTCCTAATGATTGATTCAGAAATTGGACTTAGCTACTAAAACGCCACAAGACTTTTGCTCGTTGTCTGGAGTAGAGGCATATACTTTTTACTTCTACAACTGATACTGTCATTGCTGTGTTTTACCACCAGAGGACAGACTGAGAAGCCAAGGCAGAGGAAGTAAAGTTCAGAGACAAAGAAAAAAGTCTGATCATAGTGACATCTTCTCAGACCTCAACAAATGTCTAAAGCCAGTCTCCCTAAGATGGCTCCATTATGCCTGCTAATTATCTCTCTTTTTGCTTAAGTATGTTTGATTCATGCAACCAATCAACAACCAAAGTTGTTGCTATCCTCATTAGTGTCAGACTACTGTTTCTTTCCTAAGCCCCCTGAATGCCAGGCTAAGGAGTCTGGGAATTACCCTATAGCCAATAAGGAAATAAAGTTATTTAAATATGTATTTACTGACCTCAGAATATCCTAACTTAAAAAAAAGTGAGCTATTACTACAGGAAAACACTGAGTCTTGAACAACCACTTCAAAAAGCTTTTGCCTAAGATACTATCTGAGCACTATGGAGAAGATTATGAAAGATTTCCAAAGGCTGAATCTAATTTTAAACCTTCAGTCCTCCTCTTAGTTCACTTAGCAGCAGCACTGGACACAGACAAAACTCTCTCTCCACCTTTAAGTACTTTCTACATGGCTTCTGTGACACTAGACTTCTATCTTTTCTTCTTACTTCACTGGCTGCAACTTTTAGAGTGATTTATGCTCATTCTTCTATAGTTACCAATTTTAAAGCATTGTCTCTTTTTTCTATTTATACTCTTTTATTTGTTTGCCTTATGTTCTCCAGTGTTGGAAGTGGAATTTAGGGCCTTATGCATACTAGACAAGTACTCATACGATTCTCACACAGTATTGTGGCTCCCTGGACTGTTGGCTTCAATGGGGTGGGGATTTGAGGATACTTTGTTTATACTAAATCCTTCACAAAAACAGTGTCTGGGATGTAGATGTTTCCCAAATACTTGTTTGATGAATGGTTGTGTGAATAGCATGGCTTTATACAAAATTTCTAAAATGATGTTTATACTACTGCTTACATCTTTATCCTGAGCTCCAGACATATCCAGCTGCCTATCTGAGATCTCCAGATGGATGTCTAAAACATCTCAAGCTTACCAAATTCCAAAAGAGAACACCAACCACCCTCTCAAAGGCTTCTCATTGGTTTAGTGAAGCAAGCATAGTTTTAGCCTCACACCCAAGTTTCTGAAATGATCTCTTTTATTTTACATTATAGCACTATCTATCCAATCTGCCAACAAATTCTGTGTATTCTGCCTTCTGAACAGGAACTGAGTACTTGTTTTCATCTTTACCATTACTATTATGAGCCAAGCCACTCTCATTTTACCTGCAAAGAGTGACCTTCCCACATCTTGTCTTTTTTTGCCAGTCTTGGGGCCTGAACTCAGGGCCTAGGCACTGTCCCTCAGCTTCTTTTGCTCAAGGAAGGTTAGTTAGCACTCTACCACTTCAGCCACAATGCCACTTCTGGCTTTTTCTGTGTATGTGGTACTGAGGAATCAAACTCAGGGCTTCATGCATGGTAGGCAAGCATTCTACCACTAAGCTACATTCCCAGCCCTACATCTTGTCATTTTTACTTGGGATTCAATTTGTCTTCAGAACCACAACTGGGGAGCTTTTCAAACTGAAGTCTGATTATGTCATTCCTCTGTTTCTAATCCTGTAATAATTTCCACTTCACTTAGTGACAACACAAATCCTAACAGCTGATAAAGTTCTACACTATCGGTCCCTATCACAAGTCTTACCTCGTCACTTACTGCTTTTCCCTACTCACTGTGCTCCATTCATACTAACTTCCTTGTAAAGGCCAAGCTCATGATCCTGATGTCCTCTGTGCCTGGCATATTCTCCCCTTGATATCTGCACCCATCAACCTACTTACAGTCTGCTATCACCTCCTCCATGGTGGCCTTTACATTGAGCAATGTATTTAAAATTACAGCCATTGGGCTGGGAATGTGGATTAGGGGTAGAGTTTTTGCCTAGCATGCATGAAGCTCTGGGTTCAATTCCTCAGTACCACATAAACAGAAAAAGCCAGAAGTGGCACTGTGGCTCAAGTGGTAGAGTGCTAACCTTGAGCAAAAGAAGCTCAGGACAGTGCCCAGACCCTGAGTTCAAAGCCCAGGACTGGCAAAAATAAATAAAACAAAATTGCAGCACTTTTCTCCTGATCTCTTTGATCTATTTTTCTTTACAGCACTTACACCTAAATACTACATACATTTTACTTTCTAGAACACACACCAGAAAAGTACAGGCTTTTACTCTGCTTATTCACTGCTATCTCCCTGGCACTTCAGTCCATGTGTGAATTAACACTTATTATCACTATGAAGGAATAAGAGTCTGACAAATTAATACTTTCATTTCACGCTGTCTGGTTTTCTAGCAAATGATCACAAACCTTCTCTAGAATTTCTTCCAGTTTTTTTGATCCCTAGAAGGATTTTCACTTTGCCTAGAAAGAAAAACTGTGCTTTGTCTTGTCAGCCACAAGGAGGAGTTGAGAAGAGGAGCTCAGCCCAGGAGACCAGTTAAAGCTTTCCCCATGCTTTTCCTATAGTAACCTCAAGGGGGAAGAAAACTGGATTTGGAGCCAACTGTAATGAATGAATTTTTTTTTCCTCCCTACTCTCAGTTACCTACACACACACACACACACACACACACACACACACGCACGCACACGTTAAACAGCATAATCGTTTCGTGTGCCACAAAGAAGTCACTGAAATCAATCCCCAGGCCACTCCGGATTGGGCGGCGGACGGGGGTAGGGTGTAATCTTTCCTGGCACCACCACGAAGTCACCACGGATGGAAGCGGAGTTCTTGTTAGTGTACTAACTTGCCCGGGGAAGGCCAAGGGGGTGTCTCGATCATCCGTGCTCTTTGGCCTAGAGAACTATTAAATCATTTCCGTGTAATATTCACAGCACCTACCACCCCGTAAAACAGCCGAAGCAAGGCGATCCTACGTCTCAAAGCCTCCAACTTCGGCCGATTCCCCCCACCCCCGCCCCCGAATCCACCCAACACCCGATTCCTGAAGCCAAGGGTCGACCTCTGGCTCCCCACCCCGTCACCCCCACAACCCACCCCACGCGAGCTTTCCACTCACCGCCACCTGTTGATGCCCACGTTGGAGGATCCGGCGAACCAGGGATCGAGGATGTAGACGCAGCGGATGGTGTCGGCGCCCTGGATGCACTCCTTCAGGGCGGGGTTGTCGTGGAGCCGGAGCCCCTTTCGGAACCAGTGCACCGCGTTCACCCCCATGCCCGGGGCGCGGCGGCTCACCGCCGACTTCCTCCCCGGAGAGACTCAAGCCAGGAGGGTCGGGCTCATAACAAACGGCCGCGCTTCCAGGAGAACCGCCGCACGCCGGGAGCCAGGAAGGGGCGGCCGCGGGCGTGGGGGCTCGGGGCCCGGTGGCCCTCAGGAGGGGACCGCCCCCGGCGAGGGCGCCCCGGGCGCGATGAATGGAGGGATCCCAGTCCGGGGGTGACGCCCTTTAGGACCCGGCGCCCGCGGCCCGCGCCCGCACAGGAGGCATAACTTGCGAGGCCCGGGACCCCCGAAGCGCCGGCGAGTCCCAGCAGCCGGAGCCGCCACGACGGAGGTTCGTCACGGTAACCTCGCCCCGCCGAAGCGGCCCGCGACGACAGAACGGCCCTCCCGCGGTGAGTCACCCCGAGCACCCGCGGAGGACTCTGCCGCCGTTAGGCCACGCTGCCTCTCGGCTCGGGACCCGGAGCCCAAGGACGGAGGGGCAGAGACGGTGGTCGATGCGGCTGGACGGCTGCCGGCCGGTGACCGCTCCCGAGGCTGTCCGGGTGACTCCGCCACCGCCGCCGCCGCCACCGCCGCCGCCGCCGCCGCGTCAGCGGTCTCGGCCCCGCCCCCGGCTCCTCATTGGACCACGCGCCGCCCACGTGACCCCCGGCACCTCACGTTTCTGAAGTGTGTTTACTACACGGACTCTGCCGGGGCGATCGGCTCGCGCTTAAGGCTCTTTCACTAAGGCAGCAGCCGCTGAGGCTCACACCGTGTCAATCCTTGTCCAGACGCTGGGGTTCCCTGCCTCAGCTCCTTCCCTCGAGTCACCTGTCGCAGTCTCCTAGAAGCACTCGCGGTGCTCGCAGGCCCCGAGCCCAGGACGGAGAGGCGGGGGAGGGAGCCCCGCCCCTGGGGGCTGTGAGCGGCTGCCATTGGTGGGAGCTCGCTGAGACCCGGATGAGCACGGGGCTGTGGGGAGCTCGCGGGCGCGCGCTCCGCTTGGGAAGGCGCGCGTGCGCTCTGGCGGCGTTCCAGCGGGACGGGGGGGACGTGCGGGCGCGCGTGCGTGAGCTCTGGGGCGCTGGGGACTCCTCCACGGGGAGTTTGGAGGGGCCCTGAAAAGCGTGTGGGTGTCCTTCAGAGTTATCGGTGGAGGGTAAGGAAGGCCCATCAAGTACTTCCATGCAGGAGTCGTGCTACGGAGTGTCAGAGTCTTCCCTCCAACGTGACCTTTATTCGGACGCCTGTGGAGAATTGGGGTGCCTGGCGAGATGGGTGCCAGGTATTATAGAACGCCCTGCAGCTTGTTCGTGCCTGCGTGCGTGTGTGCGTGTGTGTGTGCGCGCCAGACCCAGGGCTTGAACTCGGGGCCTGAACACTGTCTCCGACGGTTTGTTTATTGCCAGTTGAGCCACACCTCCACCTCTGGCATCTTGCTGGTTAAATTGGCCTTGAGAGTCTTCAGGGACTTCCCTGCCCGCGCTGGCTTTGAGCCGTGATCCTCAGATCTCAGCCTCATAGAGTAATCAGGATGACAGGGGTGACCCTTCCATGTCTGGCTCCGAAATCTCTTATAGTTTATTATTATTATTAATAGTATCAAGGTGATGTACAGAGAGATCACAGTTACATGCGCCAGGTAAAGAGTACATTTCTTTTTGGACGTCACCCCAGAAATTCCTCAATACTACCAAGATGTTCCCCAATCTCTTTTTTGTGTGCCCTGATCTCTTTTAACACCCGGTGCAATTTGCAAGGCCGGGTGTGATCGCCTCTTAGCCTGCCTTTCCAACAACAGTAAGCTGCATGCCATACCTGCCACATTTGCCGTGCCTTACATATAAAATACATTCCTTCATCCATCATTTACTGAAGCAGGCAATGCTCACTGTATTGGAGATGGAGATAATAAAGTAGGTTCCCCTCCCCCCCCCCAAAAAAAAAGTCCTCATAGATTTTACAATTTCTCTCTTAATATTTACCGAGTTATTTATTTTTGGTGGTACTGGGGTTTGAACTCAAGGCTGAGTTGCTTGAGCCACACCTTCGCTTGTTTCTATGTGTTGGACTTTCCTCTATAAAATGCTCTTCGTTGGAATTCCCTCCTCACTAAAACCACCATTGAGCTCCCTGGTATATTTGCACATACTCATTTGGACTCAAAATGTTACATAATATGTGAACATATTCTGTTCCATCCTAGAGCAGATTTTGAACCTCCAATCTGAGCTATCAAAGCATCACTTGTCACACTATTAAAAGACTGCCTAATGAAAAAGATCTTTTTTTTGGTTGGTGCTGAGGAATAAAACCCAGGGCCTCATTCATGCAAGGCAAGCGCTCTACCACTGAGTTACCTTCCCAACACTAAATAAAAATCAATCAATTAATTAATTTTAAAAGATCTTTTTTTATACCTAGCAATACCTGCTCAATAATAAATGCTGTGGATTGTCATAGCATTGTAAAGTGTCTCCAGTTCTCTCCAAAGTGTGACCTCTTAAGGACAGCATTTCATCCAATTTGTTTATTTTTATATTATCAGCCCCCTATACAGAGCCTGACATGGGAACTCAAATGTTAATTGCTTGAAAGGAGTGTATCTGGCAGAGTTAAAAGGAGGAAGGAAATGGCAGTGATGACCTGCCTGAATTCTGACTCCTTCAAATTATTGTTGTTGTTAGCTGGTCCTGGGGCTTGAACTCAGGGCCTGGGCACTGTCCCTAAGGTTCTTTTGCTCAAGGCTAGCACTCTACCACTTAAGCCACAGCACCCTCTCTGGCTTTTTCTGTGTATGTGGTGCTGAGGAATAGAACCCAGGGCTTCATGCATGCTAGGTAAGCACTCTATCACTAAACCACATTCCCAGCCCCTCCTTCAAATTCTTAAACACATTAAATAAAAGGGAACTTTAGACACTGACACACTCATGCACACACAGGCAAGGCCATGTGAAGATTGGGGTTATGATAGACCACAACCCAAAGAACTAACAGAGGTTAGGAGAAGCCTTGCTTTTAGAGGGAGCCTGGTCCTGATGACACCCTGATTTCAACCTTCTGGCCTCCAGAACTGTGTGAGGATAAGTTCTTCTTGTATTAAGCCACCAAATATGTGGTACCAGTGCCAGTAAGCCAATAACAGCAATAAAATAAATCCATTTATCTAAGGAGCCAGTATGACTGAATAGTTGTCCCACTTATCTTACCACCAGACAAGTATGTATCTTTGTTTTTTAATTTTCTATAAAACACTCAAAACTATGTATAAGAAAACCCTTTGCTCACCAGAAAGTGAGCCAATACTGTTTTTTTTTTTTGGGGGGGGGTCCAGTCGTGGGGCCTGAACTCTGGGCCTGGGCGCTGTCTCTCAGCTCTTCAGCTCAAGGCTAGCACTCTACCACTTGAGCCACAGCACCACTTCTGGCTTTTTTCTTTTCGTTTATGTGGTGCTGAGGAATCGAACCCAGGGCCTCATGCATGCAAGGCAAGCACTCTACCACTGAACCACCTTCCCAACCCCCAATACTGTTGTTTTTTTTATGCCTGGAATGAGCTTTGGGTAATTATCTATCTGAACCTCTTGTCACTTATACAAAAGATGTAGCACACAGCCACTCTGCCCTTACGTGGACTGCCTCAAAATCTAGGGCCTATTGTACTTTTAAAAAATACTGTTCTTTTAATGAATTAGAAAATAAGGAGATTGTGTCCATATTAGGCTTGTTTTCAAGCATTCCCCATGAGTGTGGGAGGCAAAAAGAATATTGATCAGTGTAGAGCTGTCTTAAGTTTATGGATTGTTCATTCAAAAAAGATGATTTTTTTTTTAGCAGACAGTTGTGTGGGGGTGTATGTGTAACTTCCATAGAAATATAAGAGCACTAATAATTAGGGGCTGGGAAGGTAGCTCAGTGGTAGAGTGCTTGTCTAGCATGCATGAGGCCCTGGGTTCGATTTCTCAACACTACATTAGCAGAAAAAACTGGAAGTGTTGCTATGGCTCAAGTGATAGAGTGCTAACCTTGAGCTGAAGAGCTGAGGGATAGTGCCCAGGGACAGTGCCCATGCCCAGAGTTCAGTCCCCATGACCAACAACAATAACAACAAACAAAACATTAATGAAAAGTGTCAGTACTATCAATTGTACATTCCCTGAATACTGAATGATTTTATGGTATATAGGTGGTTGTGATTGTTACTTTAATCTGGGATTTTTTTTTTGGTGGTGTGTTTGCCATTTAAGTATGGCTATCTCTTATTGAGCACTTACTTAATGTCATGTTCTTTATAGAAAGTAGTACCATCTTTGTGATTTATTTTTCTAGTACTGGAGCTTGAATTTAGGGCCAGGGTACTGTTTCTTAGATTTGTTTTGTTTCTTGGGGGGAATGTGGCTTAGTGGTAGAATGTTTGCCTAGCAAGCATGAAACCCTGGGTTCAATTCTTCATTACTACATAAACAGAAAAAGCCAGAAGTGGTGCTGTGGCTCAAGTGGTACAGTGCTAACCTTCCTTGAGCAAAAGAAGCTCAAGGACAGTGCCCAGGCCTGAGTTCAAGCCCCAGGACTGGCAAAAAAAAAAAAAAAAGTTATTGCCTCTATTCCCAAATTCACCTTTCATCGCCTCTTCCTCCTTCATGGAAGTACACCATATGAGGATTTCTCCTTTGTCACTGACACATTAGAAGGTGTTGAAAGGGATCTGGATTTGAAAGGGACTCTCTTCAAGTCCTGGTGTCCCTCCCCATCCCCCACATTTTTTCTTTTCTGACCTCCATGTTTGACAAATATTCTTGGGGAAAAGACATATAGAGAACTCACTTCTTTCAAGTTTCAGTGGCATCCTTGCTGGTGGGTGTTCTGAGTTCTCAGTGAGTCTCACAGACATCCAGAAGTAAGTTATCCTGCTTCTGTCTACCTGCATCCTGGGAAAGCATTTCTTGTGGTTTTCTCCCCACCAATCTCAGTTTGATGATTAAAAGACTAGTCCTGGCCCAGGGCAAATCTAGTCATGTTGTTCCTTATCCTAAGCCTACAACCGCACCTCAGGTGAAGGCTGAATCCCACCTTGGAGTGGATTCCTAGCACCCCTTCTTCCAAGTACTATTTCTTAGGTACTCTCCTTCAGCCTTGGGGTATTCCTTTTTTTTTTTTTGTCAGTTGTGGGCACTGTCCCTCAGCTCTTTAGCTCACAGCAAGTGCTCTACCACTTGAGCCATAGCATCACTTCTGGTTTTCTGAGTGGTTAATTGGCAATAACAGTCTCATGGACTTTCCCACCCAGGCTGTCTTTGAACCTCCATCCTCAGATCTCAGCCTCCTGAGTAGCTAGGAATACAGGTGTGAGCCACCGGCACCTGGCCTTGGGATATTCTTTATAGTGCCATTTATCTCTCCTTAGTTAATGACCTGATGTAATTCACAATATTTTATTAAATATTCCCCATGTGAATTTGTGTGTGTGTGTGTGTGTGTGTGTGGTTGTTGGTCATGGGGCTTGAACTCAGGGCCTGGGTGCTGTCCCTGAGTTCTTTTGCTCAAGGCTAGCACTCTCCTACTTTGAGTCTTGGCGTCACAGATTTCTGGCAGTTAATTGGAGATAAGAGTCTCATGTACTTTCCTTCCTGGCTTTGAACCACAATCCTCAGATCTCAGCTTCCAGAGTAGCTAGGAATACAGGCATAAGCCACCAGCGCCCAGCTTCCGTTTGACTTAGTGTTTTCCATCTCTTGTTTGGACACTGATGCAATTTGTTACTGGCCCCAGGCTGCAAGGATGTGCTTGTGAACAGTTTTCTTGCTTGCTATTA